ATAGAATTAATTATGAAAACAACCCTATCTTCTTGGGAGGACAGCGGTATCGATCTACTCCTAGGTGACAGGTGACTCTGATCTGGTGTATACAGACAACATTGTGCTGCTAGGTGAAGATCTAGGTAAGTTGCGAGTTTTTCTGGATAGCTTGAGTGCCAGCGTAGCCATGTTGGGTATGCGTTTTACACCTCCAAAGTGTAAAATGTTACTACAAGACTGGGTTGGTACAACACAGCCTCGCTCTAAATGGAGAAGTAATAGAGCAAGTGGATAAGTGTCAGCTTGCATACAGAAGACTCGACTGGCATTTGCAATTTTGAGAAATCTATGGCGCCGTCGTGAAATCCGGCTGTCCATGAAGGGTCGAGTATATACTGCGGTAGTTCACCCAGTTCAGCTATACTGCATAGAAACTTGGCCATTAAGAACACCGCTGTCTAAGGAGCATTGCACGAATCTGGTGGGACAACCGGACAAGCAATGCTCAGGTTAAGGGCAGAGTTTCAGGCATTCGCGATTGTCCACTGGAGCAAGTGATCGACCTCCATAGATTACGTTAGTTGGGACATCTGTCACCAAATATGGTGTCACTGCGAGCGATGCTTGTCGGGGCAGGCAGCGGGTGGAACAAAGCCAAGGGTGATCAAAATAAGACCTGGTAAGAGGGTGTGAAAACCCTAACCAGGACGCTTGGTCACGTTAGGATTCTTGGCTGGGGGCCTCAGGATGATCGTAACCCGTGGTTAGAGAGTGATATTGCGAAGTGTCACAAACAGTAGCATTCATGCATCTACTCCATATTCTCGTAACCCCAGTCTGTATGAATTCTTTATTTTCGCCTTGAATTTGCTCTCAGCATTCCAATCTTTATCGTGCTCTTCTTTATCTAAATGGGCGGTCAAAGGCCAACCACTAGAACCGGTTCACGAAAGTGCATGGTTAATGGTTGTAAAAACTGAGAACTGAGGATCTAGTTAAGGACCAGGGCTGTTAATGGTATGTAGCCTTCTACCCTCTTAACGTGAGTGCTTGTGTGTGTGTGTGTGAGGGGGGCGTTCGGAGGTACACGCGCACAGATTGCGCCACAATATTAGGGATATTAAAAAGTGACGGTCGTACTAAAACGAAATTTGGAGGCCAGAAAACCACACATCATTGACCTAATCTACAGAATCAGTGACAAAATGAAATTTAAGGGAGGATGAGACCTGCACAAAAGGTCAATCAGACAAATGATAAGACAACGATCCAGTGTGCCAAGAGTATGCGGCTAGGGAAATGTAAGTGGCGAGACAAATAAGGATATGCGCATATTCATTGGGGTAATCAGGACCACGCGAAAACGGATCAACTGTAATTGAAAACACTTCAGTTTCTTTGCCCATACGGGTGTGACCGAATAGATGATTCCCTAGGCTGTGCTCATCGAAGTATCCAACGACTTTGATGCGGTTTTAGGAAAATGAAATAGCATTTATCAATTTTGGCTGAAAATTAGCAGCCTGATTTTGGGTCACATAAGCTGGGTTCTTTTTATATATATGTTGTAATTGGGTTGACATGAAACTACTGTGGTATTCCATCATATTTCACACCTATTTGAATCCAAACTTTTCCGAAAAAATCGCACCACAACTGGGGTGGATTCTGGGATAAATGCACTGTTTTCTATATTGAAAGGATTAGGAGAGAAAACGGTTAGTAATTAGTCAGTATTCGTGGAACGTGACTTAGGGCAAGCAGAATGAAAAATTTCTGATCCTAACAATATTTTAATTGGGATCACGAATGTTGGAGGCGATACATAAACTTTTAATGCTTTATAATTGGGACTTATTGATTGAATGTCGGCGTTTCATATATGAGATAGAGAGCAATCGGCAACCTAACTAGACATAGCTATGAATGTTTTTACTTCCTTTCAAGGAAGAGGGCGCGACTGTCTTGGGGGTGGCAAGATTTGAACTCAAAACCTCGCTATTATGATGACCTTGACCACTTGGCTACCACAGCCCAATCTTGGAGTGCTGAACCACTCAACGCTTTTAGTTTCGGTGGTGGTATTTCTCGTCTTGAACTGACGATATTATCCACTGCTAAGCGCACTCACGGAGGGTAAACGAAGAGTTCCAATGTTGTTTACTTTGCTGATGACCTCACCTTTTCAGTCAACAGGTCACCAAATACCAACTAGGCATTGTCAAAAAACAACGAGGGTCAAATTACTCTGGTCTCTGCAATGCCCACCTTATTGTTGGCAGTACCACGGTTTTTTTGGGCGGTTTGCCGGCTAAAGAAGTATATTTAATTAAATCGCAGTAACAGTATCTCAGGTAAATTTTTGTTCAAACCAGAAGTGAAATCTAATTTTGACATTCTATTTTTGCAGCTGTGCTTACGTAACCAGCGTTTCGTCTGACTTCACATACCGCCTTCTCTAAATATGCAGTCGGTACAGGTGCGGTTGCGTCTACTGTTTCGCACCATTGGAGTAGCTTCTACTCCCAGACTCCGTTCTTTGAACACTCAAGTCGCACAGTATGTTTGTTCTGACATTTAACCAACATCTTTCGTCCAGACTGGAATCGATCGGTCAGTTGCAACCACCCTCGGAAGATGTCTATGAGCCGGGTCAACTTTTCCTCCATAAACACTTCGGTTATCGTGGAGTTATTTTGCAATCTTGGCCAGCCAAACTATTCGACCGTAATATGCTTTCTTTGAAAGCCACGTAAGTGGTCTGTTTGTTCTCATCTCATGTGCTCCATAGTGAGCTGAAAATGCATGAATATAAAAAGGAGGATGGTTTGGGAATAACAATGTATCAAGTTCTGACTGATCAGCGCGATATCGATTTATGTGTAAGTTTCTCAATTTCTTCGAATACGCTGATTTCGTCCAATAGAATTCTGCCCTGAAACCCGGTATCACCTTCCTACCCGACGATAAACGTGTTTTTAATACAATTTACATCGTTTCTGGTAGGTTACGTTTGTTCATCGAATGAAAAAAAAATATTCAAAAATAGGAATGGATTACGTTTTCCACGACGATATTATCCCCTATACGTCGAACGACTCTTTACCGATTCGCAACGAATACTCTCAAGAATTTTTCACGTCTGTTCCCGAACGGGGTAAGGTAAAATATGCTTGATAGTCATCTTTGTCTTTTTTATTATACATGGTGAGCATACGGTAAAAGAGAGAGAGAGAGAGAGAGAGAGAGAGAGAGTAAGGGAACAGTCACGTGGGATGCTTTTTATTGGTTCGGCTTTTGAA